GAGGAGAGGGCTGAAACACAGGGTGAGCTGACTCACAACCCCGTCAAGTCCTACGACATCATGTTTTGGAAAGTCAGCCTGCACGAGGACAGATCGGGATGACGGAATGATACATCTGAAAGTTTTTCTTATCCACAAACTCAATAGCTAATAGTACAAGTTGGCTGCAAAAAAAGCCATAGGACTGGGTCATATCAATTGAAAATGTATTGTGCTCAGTGCTTACATTAACTAACTTCATTCTCAAAATGATCTCAGGACATAGGGAAACTGAGGACCAGAGAAGGTGAGCCAACTGGATACACAGCCGTGTGTTGTTAGCCACCTTCTCCTGCCCTCTACATCTGTGAAATGGGTTTGAGAGTTACCTGGAGGTTCAGTACCTAGCTCCTAAGAGAGTCCATTCCTGGACAAGTGGATACCAGGAATGCACCCACACAATTATTCAAACACAGACTGCCAAGTGTACGTGTGTGCTTTCTCACAAGTGTGCACATTCACCCACATGCGGACCTCTTCCTGGGCCCGGGGAGCAGGGGAGTGCGTGGCCCCACCCTGGACAAGCACTTGCTCGCAGCCTCCCGGAACAGTCTTCTGTGGCTCAGCCAGCAAGCTTGGACTCGACCAGAGACCAGTAGCTTCCTGCTCTGCCATGCGCAGGCTGGACCTACTCCAGAGGGCTCGGGGTCCCACCCTCGCCCCAACCCAGGCTTTGATTCTGCCTTGGCATGAAAAACTAATCAGTAATACGTATCGAGCGTTGTCTGTGTGCCAGGCACTGAGCTAAGCACATCGAGATGCTTGATCTTAATAGTTCTGCCTTACAGACGGGGAAGCTGAGGCTCAAAGCTGTCGCGTGACTTACCAGGGTTACACAGTCAGCAAGCAGCAGAGCTAGGACTAGAACCCGATCACACTGCAGGGCCGGAATGTAAGAACCTGGCTCTAATTCTCACCCTGGGACTTTGGGCAAGTCCCTTTCTCCCTTTGGGGCTGTATTTTCCAGCTTCAAAAGGAAGGGAGGATCTTGAAATCTCTCTCAGCTTTCAACCAGTCATTTCTTTTTCTACAACCAGATCCTTCCACTTTCCAACTAGCACTTATTGGGCCTGGCTCTATACCAGGCACTGATCCAGGCACTGGGGAGTCATCGTGAATAAGATACACAGAGCGCCCATCTTTGTGAGCCCAGTGTCAAGCAGGGGAGGTGGTCATGAAACAAACAGACAGGAGCATACTGGGTGGTGTGAAGAGAATGGGGTGAAATGATAAAGAAGGGGGTTGGCATGGAAACTACTCCAAAGTGGGGCCAGGAGGTGACTGACACTGGAGTTGAAAACTGGCTGACAAGGGGGAGCTGCCCATGTGAGAACTACAAGGAAAGGGAGACGGCAAGTGCAAAGGCCCCGAGACAGGTCCTGGTTTGGGGTGGCTGCAGGTTAACCACAGGAAGAGCCAGGAGGCATCACTGGGGAAGCAGACAGGGCTGAGGGGCTTGGAGATTTCAGGCTACAGAAAGGGGTTTAGGTGTTAAGTACTGTGGGATGCCACTGGAAACTTTAAGCTGGGAAGTACTGTGAACTGATTTATGGGTTCACAAGATGTTTTAAAATGATGGTCCTGGCCAGACGCGGTGGCTCACGCCTGTAATCCCAGCACTTTGGGAGGTGGAGGCGAGAGGATTGCCTGAACCTGCAGGTTTGAGGTCAGCCTAGGCAACATGGCGAGACCTCATCTCTACAATAAATCAAAAAAATTAGCCAGCTGTGGCGGCGCGTGCCTGTGGTTCCAGCTACTTGGAAGGCTGAGGCAGAAGAATCACCGGAGCCCAGCAGGTCGAGTTTGGGGTGGCCATGAGCATGCCACTGCACTCCAGCCTGGTCGACAGAGTGAAACTCTGACCCCTCACCCCCAAACAAAATGGTGGTCCTGGGTGTTGTGGGCTGGGGAGGGAGGTGGCACAGGGAGCCCAGCGCCTCTGTGCCCCGCAGGCCTGTTCACTTCTTAGGACCTGGTGTCAGGAAGCAGCTGTGCAGACATTGCTCCCTCTCTCGCAAACTACCCTGGGTATGCAGGTCCCCTTGCTGGGACACAGCCATGGCACCAAGCTGCTACCCAAGGGTGCGATCTCCCTGCATCTTCTCCTCCTCCAGGGAGAGCCTACCCCTCCCCCTCACTCCAGCTCATCCTAACGGCTCCCGCGCTGCAAGGCGCCAGTGCAGCCTTTGCGTGTGTGTCTTGCTGGGGCCTGCCCGACACGGGTGCTGACCTGGGGAGCAGGAAGCCCTTCGCACAGCAGGCGGGCAGGGCTGGGAGCTGCAGAATCAGTGGACCTGGGACTGGGGTGAGGATGCATGTCTGGGGTTTCTGCTTCAAAAACAATACCGCCCTGCAGGGGTCAGGGACCGCATGATTCGGGGCTTGTGGGGGCTGTGTCAGGGGTAGGCTGAGGGTGGCTTTTGCCGGGGGCTGGCCCCCCTGTGGGCATGGAGGGGGTGAGCAGGGACCAGGCAGGGTGGGGAACATACAAAGTCTTTCTGTCCCGTGCTTTGGACGGCTTGCGTGGAATCTGCCTCCGCCCTACCCCTTCTTTTCCGAGATGCCTGGGCTTGGGGCACCACCAACAGGATCCCAAGTGGGGGTGGTGGCAGGGACGCTGGAAGGATAGGACATATTCAGATTCTTTTCTGTCACAGGTTTTCAGACCCCCAGCTGGGCAGACTTGTCCATTTTGGCCTCCGTCCCCGATGCCACCAGCAGCATCTCAGGGACCCTGTGCCCATTCATGCAGGACTCTGGGAAGGCATGGCTCCAAGCCTCTCCTTTCCCCCTTTGCCCTGGAAGTTTAACTCTTCCTGGGCTTTGAAGAGCAAGGCAACTGGAAAAACAAGCCTGGCCTGTTTCGTCCAGGAATGCTCCAGCATGTCTGGCTGGCAGCCGCCAAGCTGCTAGAAAGAGACTCCCATGGGCAGGCCAGGCACAGGCCTGGGCACCCA